TGTTGGAGGATCTGGGTCTGTCCACGGTGGACCGGTCTCTGCTGGAGTCTGAGCTGAAGGAGTTTCTGGTGAACCTGCATGAGTTCATCTGGTTTCACCAGAATCCGACCCGTGGCTCTGATGACGAGCATTAAGAATAACTCTATAGAAACAGACCATCTTCTCTCTGAGGGTCTCTTTACTGATGGAGGTCTGATAGAGGATCAGGACTACACTGTGTAAACACCCTGTATATGCAAGCTTTAAAGGACTTGTCAACATAATAGCTCACCTGTGGCGACTGTTGTGTCATGACTCTCAGTTACTTCCTTGAGAAAAGCTTGTGTCAGCGCTTTCACTTCCTGACACTCCTGATGCGTCCGATCCAGCTCCTGCGACGTTGACTCGAGGTGGTTTTCCACCTGTGACACGGATAAAGGCCAATTTCAACACAGTTAAATAAAACAGCAAAATAAATGAAATCAGAAAACGGATGCTTTACCTTTTCAGTTCCGAAGCGGTAGTATTTAATCGGCCCAAAATACCCATGGATGCCCGGCATGTAGTCGCTTCCTCCGATCACAAAGTATCCATCAGTGTCGTCATAATGGACACTGTGCTGAAATCTGTAAGATATTCACCACCGCTCAAACCAGCTCTCGTGATCATTACGAATATATGAGTCATCTTTCTATTTTAATAACTGGACAAACTGGTGCTTTGTTAGGACAGCAGTATTGTTTTAAACTGAACAGAAAGCCTCTTTAAAATCCATAACCCATCTTACTGGTATTGATATCTGCGGGTTTTATCGTCCCATGTTGCATCCAGCAGCACCTGGAAGTCAGACATAATAATAATGCATGAGCTCACGACACACAGTATGAAAAAAACCAAACTACTCAGCTGTGAACGACACATTGCAGCACACGTTGAAATCGCCTGGAGATTCCCAGCTGGACAGAAAACCATCTTTCAGGAACTTACAGCTGTTCCAAAAGGAATTCAAACATCACAAACGCAAAGGGCACCAAACCAAAGAGAAGAGAAGGGACTGGGAGATGTTGCCCCGAGCTGTGTTTTAATTTCTGTTTCTTATCCCACCACCCAGAAGTTTGCTTTTCTTTCATACCTTTGAGTCCTGTATGTAGCAATCCAATCTAATCCATTTCCACCGGGGCAACGCCACGTTGGCTCTGAAAGCTTTATCTTCTCCCGTTGTCACACATGTCTGAATTATGACGTCCCCTACACAGGAGATATGACAGTCATATATTTCACCGCAGGAGATCCAGCGCTCTTCATTAATACATAACACAGTCTGTTCCCCGAGTCTCACCAAAAACACACATCATCGCTCACAATCATCTGGTGATACCGACCCACCTGTGTCTGTGAGCTGCAGCAGAACGGAGTCGTACGCACGCTTCCTGCCGACGTGATGGACGATCCCGCAGAGCTTCCCCTGACACCATTTCAGCAGGTAGACCCACACGGATAAGGTGACGCTGGAATATCAAACCGAAAGTGACGACACATGATCTGAGCAAAAAATGATCTCCGACTCTCCTCAGCCAACGAAGCGAAGAGGTCGGATTTAAAGCGCTGAAGATGACTGACCTCTCTGCCTTTCATTGACCGTGAATAAAAAGCTCACATGCTCCGGTGAAGAGGCTTCATGAAGCTTGTAAAAGGCATTCGCAATGACAGTGAAGTAAAACTAAAAGGTGTGTGTTATAACAGCTGAAACAGAAACAATCAGTGACCTGTAGCCTGTCGATCTGCTGATTTCAACATAAAGCACCAAACTGTACATTTGAGGGACTATATGGTGGTTTATTTGTTTTTATTGTTCAAGTTTAATGCTTTTAATATCTACAAATTCTGCTGTTCTTGAGTACTTTTTGTTACAACATTTGGAGACCCTGCAGGGGATTTTATTCCCGCTGTGTTCAAACTTCAGGCAGACTAAGCTCCAACGAAACTGAACTAAATGAGTCAGTGTGTGAAGTTTATGTCCAACCTGGGCTGTGTCACAGCACGGAGACGGGCGCTCTCCAGGGCTCTGTCGATAAAAGGCTGGAACCTGCGGACTACTCCAAAGTGCTCGCCAGGACTCGCCAGGGGAAACGTCAGCACATCGATCACGTCTATGCACGAGTAAAAAACAGCAATAGATTACATACAGCCACGGATGGATCAATGAACGGGTCTACTGGATGCAGGCCCAGGGGCCCAAAGTGTCACCTTCGAAATATGACATCAAGGGACACGCATCAACCAAGAAGAGACTCACAAAAACACTTAAACTACCACAAAGAGACATAAAGACACTCAAAACAACTATTAAAAAGGGACAACATGACCACAAAGAGACACAAAGTGACTACAAAGAGACACAGATGACCACAAAGGGACAAAAAACAACTTCAATGAGACACAAAGTGACAACAACATGACACAAAAAGACAACAAAGAAACACACACATTGACTACAAAGAGCCACAAAACAAACACAAAGAGAAAGAAAACAAACACAAAGAGATACAAAATGACTACAGAGAGACACACACCAACAAAAGAAGAAGCTTAACAACTATCCAGTCCGTGTCTTGCTCCTATGTAGGTGAGGTGGTGGGGCCTTTCACATGTCTCTGCCCAGGGACCCATTGTCTCATAATCCCTCCATGACAGAAACAATATGTTTATGTTTGCATTCAAAGTTTCGGTAATGAAGATACAAAGATGAATGATCTAACCTGACTCATGTGGACATTGACGAACTCTGTTCCTGGTTGTCTGCCACACCAGTTGAGCGGACCATGATGGGCACTCAGTGGGGGGTTTAGCTGGACGCTCTGAGAGCGGCTCCACCTGCAGCTCTTTATAAACCCTCACCGTGGAGTCCCGGTATGTCCCGGGTTCCCCGCCATCGTCGAGATGGTCTAACCAAGCGCGAACTGTCACATTCAGGGTTCTCAAAACTCGCCTGTTGAAGAAGTCGTGCTGATATAAAATGGATGGAGGCAATCCGAGCGGCACCTGGTGGATCCTGTAGACTCCGGATGTGCTGCCAATCCATTTCCTCCTGAAGACAGTGAAATCCGTCTCCCTTAATGTGGACACCACCACCTCCACAGCGAGCTGACATGGCCCGGAGCAGCAATACCGCACACGGACCACTGAGCCGTATGTCACTTTGTCAGGGGCTGAGGCGAACCCGATGAAATCAGACGGGCTCTCACCAGCCTGGGATGAGGTGGTTGAAGCGGCTTGTAGCTCGCAGTGTCCCTGAGTGAAGTGAAAGATGTGTAAAGATAAAATGAAGGCTCACATGCATGTTTCTCACTCAAACTAAGTAAGCAGGAAACAAGTTGCCAGAGGACACATTTGAAAGACTTAAACCTGCATTAACTGATTCTTTGGGCCAGCTGTGAGCACAACGTTGACATGTCAGTTTAAGTTGATGTGGTGAACTTGTTTGCTTCTTATTTACACATCCAACAGTTAGGAAGCAACACATTTTTAGAGCTTTCTGTCTTGGAAAACAGCTGCCTACGCAATGAAAAAGTGAACCAAAAGAGTAAAGTCCATGGAGTGTCACGTTCTACAATTTATATCAGGATAATAACTGTCATTAAAGTAGAGCACAATAGAGTTTCTTACCATTATAATAGCAGCAGTGAAGACATATCTGCAAAAGTAGAAGGGTAACACATTCATTTTGAGTTGTTGTTTTTGCGTTAAAATTAATTAAAACAAACAGGTAATCCTTGAGTTCATTATGAGTCCATTCAACAAGCCGGTAATGTGCAAAACTAATGTTTGGACTGAGAGGCTGTCACCTTCCAAAACAGGTGTGTGAGCATACACCCTGGGTGATGCAGCATTACCTGAAAATCTGGAGTTGCAAGTTTAGCAGTTGCCTACAGAATTCCTTCAGGGCTCGGCTCAATAGACTGTTGCTTGATTCGTTTTGTTTCTTGGTTCTATTAGGGACACGTTTCATGGGAGCGATGAACTTAATGTGATGTGCTCGAGCCGAGGCCTCGCCGTCACCCTGGGTCCTCTTGCGCCTACGCCAACACACAAGACTTTTGCAGAAATCTGATCAGAAAAAAAACAACCTGATACAGCACTCGAAATTAATTACCCATGGGCTGTTTATGCTTCAAAGTGGGAGGGAGTGAGGCGTTGGTAACGGTTGCTGGTGGGTTTGTTGTGGATGACCACACGTAGACGAACGCTGCCTTGGCATCTATATAAAGGTTGCTAAAGTCGAGAAACTCTAGCCGGCGAACAAACCTGTCGGAGAGTTGATGAATACTTTTGATTAGACTTCAGTAGAGAGGGGTTTCTTTTGGGGAAAGAAAATTAAATGGCTTTACAGGACCTGTGCAATCTCCAGGACGTCCTTGGGGACAGTTTAACCACCGGATGTTCGTCAGAGCTTTTTGGGAAGAAGACCGGTTGTAACTATGTGAGTGGCTTGCCATTTAGCAACACCACGAGTATGTTTACATTTTATATACCGGTTGCAGAATACTTGGACGAAAGCCCGATACAGTTTGGACAAATTGGCTCCATCCAGAGCTTCGGCGCTGCCTCATCTCAAGACTCCCTCTTACCGTCCGTCTCCTGGCCCATGTGTCCTCCTCTGGCCTCCTCTCATTCCGTCCCTCTGCCCTTCCCGATGTCTCACGGCACCACCACCCTGGCCTTCCTGTTTCAGGGCGGCGTCCTGGCCGCAGCAGACACTCGCTCCAGTTGCTCGGGGCTCGTGGCATGCCCGGCCTCCCAGAAGATCCTGCCCATCCACAGTCACTTGGTGGGCACCACGTCGGGTACGTCGGCCGACTGTGCCCTCTGGAAGCGGATTCTGTCCCGAGAGCTGCGGCTCTACCAACTCCGCCACGGCCGACGGTTGTCCACGAGTGGAGCCGCCAAGCTGCTGTCCCACATGCTTCACCCATTTAAGGGGACCGAGCTGTGCGTGGCCGCCACGCTGTGCGGGTGGGACGGAGGGGAGGTGGGCGAAGGCCTGGACCACGGAGGTGCAAAGACTGATCTCAGTGGTCGAAGAGAAACCACAGATCCTGGAGAGTCTGAAGATCTTGAAAAGGCCTCTACGGCCGAGACTCTGAGCTCTTCTTCCACAACAGTTCGTCAACGGCGCTTCGTCCGAGAGAAAGCGAGCTTCTCTGGACCCAGTCTGTGCTACGTGTGCAGCGATGGTACTCTCCTGCAGGGGACGCTCTTCTCCGTGGGCTCTGGATCGCCCTACGCCTACTCGATTTTGGACCAAGGGGTTCGATGGGGGCTGACAGTGGACGAGGCCACGTCCGTAGCCAGGGAGGCCGTGTACAGAGCCACGCACAGGGACGCATACTCGGGAAACTGCGTGGACGTCTATCACGTCTCCTCTAAAGGATGGACACGCAGGAGCAGAGAGGATTTGAAAGAGGAGTATTACAGGGAGAGAGAACGACAAGGGAGACGGGACGTGGCTTTGTCTGAGTGACGACATGAAACAAACACAAATGGCATGAGAAAAGAAAGGCAAACACCGGGGGAGAGTATTTGTGGAGAGAGACGCGGTGGCTTCTTTGCATGCAGATACTGAATTAATGAACAGGACAGGCAGTTGCATCCTCCAGGCTGTTTCTCAAATGATTTGGGCATGCATAGCGCTCCCTCTAATAAACAGCTGATGTTTTGTTTTGGTGCTGATGATAAAAATGCATTCTAACGGCACTCTGCTGCTGCCGCCTGGCATTTGGATTTGGACGCTGAAAACATTATGAATCATGTGAGATAATCACAACCTACTCCTGCATCGTTTGAATCACCAACACAGAGAGAAGCAGAGAAAGAAAGCGGAGTTAATAGTCCAAAAACCCAAAGGTCTTGCTGTGTATAAGGGAGCTAATTCAGCTTTTGCAATAACCGGTAGTTAAAAACTGATTTGTGTCTGCTGTCAGAGGTTTCTCCGACACTTCAATAAATGAATGAATGAATACATGTGATTTTGCTGAAGTTGCTTGTTTGTCCTGTTTGAGCAGCCTGGTAGTAAATTAAGCGTACTAGTAATTATTCTCGTGACAATGACTCTGTAAGGGATATTAGGGCAAAAGGTACCGAGCTGTTCGTCCTGTTCAGCCATGCTTTTTTATAAACTTCAGTATATGAAAGTTTTCAAGGCTGAGGCCCTTCACCATACGGGAGGAAACATTACAGCGTATTAATTAAGCTTCCACATTTTTTCAATGTGGAAGCTTGTCGTTCTGAATATGACGAGCTTAAGTTTTGCAAAAATGCCACATGTGACAGACTTTGTATGTGTGCACACGCAGGTATGTATCCGCTGTGTTAAATAAATCACAGGCACATCTCCAGCAACATCAAGAGAGTCGAGTTGTCTTCTCAAACCTACGCTGTGTGACTGACTGCAGCTGCGGGAGTAAGCGGAGAAAGCCTCCCTACCTCCCCGACCTCATCCATAATTCCCATCTTCAGAAGTTCATTAATGACAGAATTATTGAGCGTATGAAAAAACAACAAACCGAGTGGAAACCAATCTGGTGGTCCAGATTTGAGCAGAGCTCTGAGAGTGAGAGAGAAAGGACCGACTTGTGAAAGTAATCAAAGTGTTGGAGGCTGCGTGAGGAGCTGCGTGAGGAGCTGCGTGAGGAGCTGCGTGAGGAGCTGCGTGAGGAGCTGTGACCCGGGGAGCGTTTGGGGGCTTCCTCTGCTCGCCCTCTTCTAAGCTTTTTGTTCAGTTTCTTGCAAACTCCAGCTGAGAGCAGAACAAACTCCACTGGATTGGACCAAGAAGTTAACTGTCACAGACGCTGCTGTCTAAGTTGCATCACTCCGTCCGTTTGTTTGTTTTGTTTCATCTCTCTAGAATAACATATCGACCCTAACAGACAGAAATTTGACAAAACTTTTCACACCCGGAGCATGTTTTCACTCGTAAATCTGTCGGCGTGTGCTCTCAACTCCTGACTAGCAGAATGATTACAGCTTGGCTGTGTTTTGTGCTGACGCAGCAGTTCTGCCCGTTAAGAAACCTCCGTATCCAGCTGGGTGTTCAAGGGATCTGTGGAGTGACCTTTTGGGTTTGCAAGTTAGCTTTTTTAGTCATATCAGTCAACACTTGTCTCAACAGCACTTTTTTTAAAGGCTCCCTTGTTTCTTAGTCGGGAGACAGAACTCACGAGTGATCAAGAAACGATGTGCAAAGAAGACGGCACTCTGTAGATGAATAAGCTCAAAGCATCTCTCTTCCTTTTTTTCAAATTAAAAATATCTAAAACATGTGGGCGAGAAACAAAAGTTCTATTCCAGGAGGTATGGGATGTCAAAACGTAAAACACATCATATCACCTAAAAAGCTCATGCTATTGGTTTTCCAAACAGATACATTGGATGTAATGTTTAGATCTCGCATCAAAGGGACAAATATAGATATGATATGTTTGAACATTCATCCTTGGAATTTGGATTAGTAAATACAAATTCAGATTGTTTGTTTGAAGATGGGGAGACAAAGATTAGAAATGACAAATCTGCTCAGAGCCAAGACTTGAATTACAGAAATGTACCGTAAATTAGATTGATCATTAATTTCCAAGAAGAAAAGACGCATCATAAACGACTTATTCAACTCGCTGGAGAAAGCATGCTATCAGGATGAGTGGGGGGGGGCAGTCATACATCTGAGACGTGGTGCGGGCCACTGGGACGACACTATTGGTGAAATGCAATCTTTTAATGCATCCTTGAGTAGCAATTTTCTGGTCCAACTGTTGGAAATGCAGAGATGATTATGCAGACCGGCTATACTTAAGCAGATTACAAAAAAGCGGATTGCTTCCAGGGAACGAAAACCAGAAAATATTGAAGTGGTTTAAAGGATTTACATGTTGTCCAGAGGAAATAACTAATGTGATAATTACAAACAAAAGCTCTGAAGACATCTGCTTTAATAGAGCTCAAGCTGAGTGAAGCTGAAATGCGTCCGTGTGGTTACACATCGTGGTCACTGCGTGTCCTCTGACATCATCGGCTTTCAGGGCGAAGACCATTAATCTAATTATTTGAAAATGTGTGTGGAGATTTGTATGTTTATAGAATCTCTAAATGCATACGGAGGTTTGTGAATGTTGAAAGAAATCTGTATTCAGATTTGCATTTACCTTTCTATGTACGCATTTACAGATATGACGACACATGTACTAATCCCAAAACATTTACAAATCTGAACACAGATTTTTATTTTTATTTTTTTTACACGTATCTATGAATTTAGAGTTCTGTCTCATTTAGCGATTTGCATACATTTACATTTTGTTTACACATTTCTAGATTTATGTACACATTTACAAATCTTATTATGCACTCACGCGCAGATCTCAGTCCGACATGCAATGAAGACGTCACACACATTAGCAAAACAGTTTCACTACTATAACGTCCCCGTAGACCAGCTGTATCTGAGTGAGTTACACACTGAAGGAGAGAGGGAGAGGGGGAGAGGGGGAGGGATAGAGAGAGGGAGAGGGAGAGAGAGAGAGAGAGGGAG